GTACTGCTGTGCTCTTTACAATTTCTGTAAATTCCATTTTCTAGAGGCAGGGTTCCTTTTTAAAATGTAAAACATTATAAAGTTGTCTGCAAACTTGTTAAAAATAAAGGGAAAAGTTTGAAAACACACTTCCATGAACAAAATCAAGGGGAAAAAAAGACATAAGAAATAGAAATAACATTTTAACATTAAGTTTCACTCATTGTAATAATAAAAACTACAGTTTTGGGTTTGGAACATTTGTTTATTTGTTTGTTGGGTGGTGAGGTGGGGTTTGCAGGCCGGGGTTTTTTGATGTTTTTAACTCTAAGCAATACTCTAAGCAACTGAACTAATTGTGGGGTTTTTTGGTTGATCTTTCCTTTCCAAAAAGTGCCAGCAACTCTTGAAATAAAGTCATGTGAGAAACACTGCCATACACAGAAGAAGACTGAAGTTCCTTTCTCATTTATGCTTGTCTTCTGATGAAATTATCCAGTGTTCTTAAGCTGTTTTCTCACACCTTACCCTATCAGCAGCATGGAAATGCTGTCTGTAAGCTTTTACGTAACACTGCTTACACTTCTGCTTCTTTTGTGTCCTGCTCTGATGAAGCATTCAGGAACCTCTGTAGCATTAAGCACAAATAGGTAATTGATTTCAGAAAATACACATTTGTTCAGAACATTTGGTTACAAACCCATTTTTTCCTTTCTAGCCCTGGTTCTTTAGACAAATCAGACGTGACTTTGGTTAAGGTTTTTCTCACTAGCAGTTGCCACATGTGTGTCATATTGATGACCTGTAAGAATGATGAAAAATTGCATGGGAAATTTGTGGGTAAAGGAAACTAAGGAAAGTTCACATGTATTTCATGCCTCATTACCATAATCCCTACTTGTCTTCTACCATGTGTCCCTCTGGATCTGTGCCCACCTCCCTCTTCCTATTTGCATAATTTCATTCTTAATGATTTGCCACCATAGTCTCAAATTCATTAGGTGACTTGCATTCCCTGTCTGATTTGGCAGCCAATTTCTTGTATTGATTTTATATATTCTTTTGGAGGATAAACACCTCTTAATACCTGCTCTACAGCAATGCTGTACTGGATGAAACCTATAGAAAACCTCTTAGCAACTTTATCTAATCAAAGCAAATAACAATTAAATGGATCTCCAAGTACATCCTTGCTGTTTACATGTGTGTTCATGTACATGCTTGCACACATAAACCTGTATTTAAACTTTCATAAATAAAATTGGTTTAATGATCTTTACTGTGGGGAGATGTTTCCAAGTATCTGACTCTTCAGACTCCTATGTTGTATCAGTGTCTCATGTCAGGCTGAGATTTTTTTCCTGCCCTTTCCACTAAAATCATTGAAATATATTCAGTCAGTCTTTCACATCAGAGGTGTAAATGGATTTCTTGAAAGTTTTTCTGCAGATAGCAAACGGCAGTCACTTTACAACTTTGACTCCATTGTGGGCAGCAGTTGGGAAGCCTAACACTCCACCCGAACTTTGAAGATGCTAAAACTGTTTAATGACCTTGCATTCTCAAGGGCAGATGCTCAGCTTTTGCGGGAAGTGCTAATCTACAATTTGTTTATCTCCATACACTATGTATTTGACAGCACTTGCCTGGAAAGCAAGGCAGGGAAAAGCATAGTTCCATTTTCCTCTCTGATGGTCTCAGTGTCCAATGGACTTCGAATGTTCATCTTTATTTTAATTTTTAGCTTCCTTTGTGCTTCTCAGCCAGTTGCAATCTTAGAAAGCAGCTACAGTGCCAGTGTCAGAATATTTTCATTTTGTGAAGCCTCTGATGTAGAGTGAGCTGGGCTCTGGAGTAACTGTTTTCTTCTACATTTTCTTTATTCTTAGCGAATCAGACTTTGGGCTTTACCTTCAAAATATTGTCTCCTGTATTTTCTGTCAGTAGGCTTTAGATTTGAAGTGCTCTATTTATTATTCTTTAGTGGATATGATAATGCTCATGAGCACGTTGAGGTACATGTTCCTAATGAAGAGATGATGTGTCAAAGCAGGGAAAGGTAATGCCTTTTGTTAGACACATACACCGTGGCTGGGTAAGCCCTTCTTCATATGTGGCACAGGAACCTGAAGAGAAGGGCTTCAGCTCATAAAAGCGCATCAGTGTTTTCAGGTTAACCTATAGATAGGTTTTACATCCCCAAAGTCTGTTCTTTAGCAGTTCCATCAGTTGGTTGGGTAACAGAGGTTCCCTCCCTGAATAAACTGTGCTTTGCTTGCCCCTGTAAACCATCAGCCACCACTGCACTACTACTACTTGACTACTACTACTACTTTGACAACTTTGGTTTTAATGTAAACCCTGTGGTTTTCCAAACTGGCCCTCCCTATCAACATAAAATATTAGCATCAAATTACTCAGATTCAGCAACAGCATCTATTTTTTAATATGAACTTTTCTGTTCAGTCAGGTAATTGTTTAGCATCCCAGGGAATTGTGTGTGTGTTGCAAATAGAAAAGTTCAACCTTGTAAATCCTTTCTGTGGTGAGGCAACAGGAAACCCACTTCTGATTATTAAGATCATTGGGTTTAACAACAAAATTTAATAACAAATTGCTAAAATTGACCTTTTGAATGCTAGAGTTGCCGCATGCTCATTCAGGATTCTCTTTATCATGTATAGGAGGATTCTCTTGCTCTCCACTTACAGAATTACAAGAAGTGTTACTGTCACAGAGGCTCAGTTTCCTTCTGTGGCACATGCTTTGAATTAGCAGTGGCTGTTGCCCACTGTGTTAATATCAGTAAGCTTCTAAAGTAATTAAGTAGCAAATCACAGCTCCCATCCCAAGGAGGAAGGATACCATCTTGATTTATCAACAAGATAAAGAGAAAGGTTGGTTTGGTTTTTTACCTTTGCTTTTTTGTTTTTTAGTAACATAGAAAACCTCACTGAGGCATGAAGCACGTAAGAAATAGCTAACGGTGCTGAATCAAGGAGTTTGTTCAGGTTCAGAGGAGAGCTGGCTGTGCTCTCAAGCTGGTCCTGTGCTCTCTTCTCCCTACACTCAGTGCTCAGTTGGAGTATGGGATGCTTTCAGATCACCTCCTGCTCCATCCATGCTCCTCCTCACCTGTGCAAAAGCCTGAAGGTGGAACTCTGCTGCAGTGGTGTTCTATCATCCCAAAATTAGAGGAGGCTAAGGGAGCACTCAGGCACTTGGTAATGTCTGGTGGTATTAGAGGTGTGCAGTGTGGCTGTCGATGGGGAAAGGGGAAGAAGAGCAAGGTCTGGCTCAGGTACTCGTAGCAGTTGTCCCTAAAAGCTGGAGTTTGGTGGCTCTGATGCAGTGACTGTGTTGTTCCTGCATTACACAGATCTTGCAGTCAGTTCTTCCTCATAGATTCTGCTGTATGCAAGTGTCAGTTCAGCCCTTGATGCCCTCTCCCTTCCTCAATTTTTGTTTCTTCCTCTCCAGCTGCTGTACTTGAACACCTATATTTCTTTATATCTGTTATCTGCATTTTGGTCTAGACCTTCTGTAAATAATGAGTAACTCCCTGAAGCAATTCTTTCTGCTTCTACTTCTCTTTTCAGTCTTTTATGATCTATCTCAATTGTGACATTTGCAAAAAGATAAATTATTATGGATAGCTGGGCTGTGGGGCAGTCAGATATGGCATGTATTATTTATTGTGAAACATATTTTTAAATTCTGTAGAGGCCTCAAGTTGCACAGCTTAACTGTTGCCTCCTTGATCCTTCCTGTCTGCTATAATTTGTGGCATTTATTTGTTGCATTTTGTTTTAGGAACACAATAGGAACTCTCTTTGGCTGATAGTCCATCTGGATCTGTGATTTTTTTGTGGACCCAGAAAGCAAATACATAACTAGTTGTTTCAAGTTTTTCTTTATATTTTCTTCCAAGAGACTGAAGTAAAGCCATGTTACTCAAGGTTAAGTGAAAAGTAAGAGACAACTTGGTTTTTTTTTGTTCAATTATTTTTCACTTGTAGCTATATAAAACATAAAATAAGCACCCTTTTAGATAAATGTGAGCATGTTTTGGACCTTTGTCCTTTAAAAATAATTTGTGAATCGCTGAGAAGCTAGCTATTTCTGTGACCTATCTGGATGAAGAATAGTCCTGGACTAGAGAAGTTCTGAGCCACCTCTATGAATTAGCGTGCATTAAATGATGGAATCATTTTATTGAGCAATAATAAAATATTGAAGTCAGATGTAAGGATGATGGGGAATTGCTGTTTGCAGCTATGAAAGTGATGCATGTCATGTTAACTCCCAACCCAAACAACTCATTCTAAGATTTGCTTTCATGAAACTTAAAATCCTGTATTTTGTCCAATCATCAGCTTTAAACCTGTTCCTTGTCAGTGAAGACAACAAATCTTTTTGCTTGCATCTGCCTGGGGGATCTGGAAAGCTGAAGTGGTCCTGTGTGATTAAATTAGATGAAAGACTTGCCTTCTACCAGTGAGACATGAAGTCTAATCAAGTGAAATGAGTTTTGAGATCTCAGCTCATTTCCTTGGGGAATATCTGCTTACATTACACAGTCACGACACCTAATTCATCACAGTTGATGCAGCTTCTGCTCAGAAGAGGACCTGGGACTGGGTGGCATGGGACTTGATCAAGTATCTCCCTAAGGAGGAGCTGCTTAGTGAAGTTAAGATACAGCACACTGAGGGGAGAGCTTTAATATGTCTTTTTTTAAAATAAATGATCTGTATTTCTGTGTATCAGAATATATATCTGTATATTTTAGAACAGAGGGACTTAGATGCAAAAAGGTAAAAAAAGGTATTTGGTACTGAATTTATAAAATGATTGCTGCATAAATGTTAAAGAACATGCTCAGTGAAGAGCAAAGTTGAGCTTGTTACTTAATTTCTATGATGTTAAATGATGTTTGTGTATTTCCATGTACTAAGGTAAGAAAGTAAAGATTTTTCTGCCTCCCTGACTAACATACTGTTTTTGTTTGTTTCTTCCAGGGCATTGTTATAACTCCACTTCTGCTTTTGCTTTTTGTAAGTATCATGATATAATATATCTTTTACTGGGTAATCTTACACCTATTAGATGTTATGTTTAAGATGCAAGTTTGGATGGTTTTCATAATGCATAAATAACGAAGAAGATTTTTCTGGTCAATATTTGAAATTAGCTGCCTCCCAGGAAGGCCATCAAAATGCATCATAGTGTATGCAAACGCCATCTACACTTAATTCTAAAATGGCCAAAAGCTGTTGCTCTTACAGAAGTGTAAAATCATATGCTGTTAGTCAGGCTGGTTAAAATACAAGCACTTGCCAGGTGAGGAGATAACTCAGGAGAGCTCTTGGAGAGCTTTCACTTGTAGGAACTGGACAGGATTGCACTGATCTGAAGTGGGCAAGAACAACTGGAAAAGCATGACTCAGATAAACAGAGCCTTGCTTTTGGGCAACTAAGCCCATGGGTATTTTTGTGGTAGAGACAAGACAGATTACTGGAGCATCACTAAATGTAATGCTGCTTCATTCCTGTTAGTTCAATTGTTACCCTTCAGTGAGGGCCTTGGATCCTTGCAGCTTGCAGTAGAGAGAAAGGGAGGAGACCAAGCTTTATCTTCATGTTTTATAAAGGCATGGATATTAGCATGCAATGGAGAGGCTTTTGCAGGTGTGTGGTGGTGTTTAGTAAATCCCTGGTCAGATAGGAAGTCTTGGTGCTTGAGGATTTGCTGGCATAACTGGTGTGGTGTGGTGCAAGCTGCTGAGGGCTGTGGCTTTGTGAAGAGCAGGGAATATAGGCTGAAGCACTTCAAGAATTTCAAGGAAGACATTAATTTTCTTTTATATTTGTCTTTCTGATGGCTTTGTATGTGTCTTGGCTTGGAAAGATAGGTGTCTGCTAAGGAAGACAGGAGCCTCCCCTGAAATGGGGGGATCTCGGGCAAAAATATGGGAGCAGGAATAACAGTTCTTTATTAGGGAAGAAAATAAAAAGATAAAATAAACAATGCAGTAAACCAGAACATCACTGACAGAGTCAGAATACAACCTGACACCCTATTGGACAGGGTGTTGGCAGAAGTCCAATTGGAATTGTGGCTGCAGTCCTCCTGGAGTGTCAGGTGTGGTTCTGTTGGAGCAGTGATCCTGTAGAAAGGGTGTAATCTTCCTTTGAAGATCCAGTGGAAGAGGTAGCTGTTCCTCTGGGAAATCCAGTGGAAAAGCCATGCTGGTGTTCCAGAAACTCAAGATTGTATGCAAGTAGGAATGCTTGGCTCCTCCCTCTGGGTGGAGCATCTCACAATGGCATGCTACAACTTTTATCAGTTATGCAGTGACACTCAATAGGACATTAACAGCAGATGTCACCTGGAGAGAGGATTGGTTGTGGAAGAGATAAGGAAAACTGCTCACTTAACAGAAGACAACTGCCATGCAGATGGCAAATAGAATACATCTTGCCTTGCAATCTGGGACAGTAAGCACACTGGGAAGTGGGGGGAAGTGAGAAGTTGGTCTGAAACAATTTGTAAGTGGCATGCAAAGGATGCGCTGTTTACAGCAGGGATGCTTAAGCAACATATGGGCTATATATGAATATAGCAGTAAAAACTGGGATAAACAGTACTGGGAGAGTGGCTGTAACATCAGCTACTGCCTCAGAATAACTGTGTGGGAAGAGTTTTATTTTACTAGAACAAATTGTAATTCACTGACGTAGCTGTATTTACCCCTGGGACTACAGACTTACTGTAGGTTGAAAAAGATAACTTTCATATAAAAAAAGACAGGTGTTTTGTTGTTCTTGTACTGAATATGTTGATTCAGGATCATCTGCTTTGCTGTTTTTCAGTCCTCTTCTCTCCTGTATACAGAAGCTGTTTCTTCCACAGGCATTAATTCAGAAACCTGTGCCCTTGTTTCTAAGTGAAACTTCAGCTCTTTTTACTCTTGCTCACTGGCAGCTTTCCCCATGCTCTACCTCACAGAGTTTGGTGCACTGATAAGTCAAAATGGGTGTTTTCTGCAGAAACTGAGATGTTAAGGAAAGATTTGTGTGTCTTTTCAAGTAGGATAAAATTCTTTTCTTTGGTGTCTTTATAGGCAGATAACAAGATATTCTGCCCCATAAATTGCCCCATAAATCCCTCTTCTCAGAAGAAGTGGTAAAACTTCATGTGTGCAAGAACAGGAAGGCAAATCATGACTGTTCTTCCTGCCAGCTCTGGAAAGATTTGTATGAGAAGTGTGTAAAATTCACATTAATTGTTGGGTGGTTTGTAACATGACTTGGACTTGTTCTTCTTGAGGACGATACACACATGAATTGCTTTGTCATCAGAGTGATAAACTAGTCTGGGGACAAGGGGAGTTACAAGAACTGTGGGTTTTTGTCACAGAGCCCAAAACTTGAGGACTTCTCTTGTGCTATGTAAATATTTAAAACTTCTTGAGGTCTTTGTTGAGGGTTTCACAGATGAAGAGCAGTATTTTGGTCAGCCCAGCAGCACGCTTTTCAGTTTATCCAATGATAGCTATTTAGGACAGCTGAATGTGCAGAAGCGAGTTCCCAAGTCCTGTGATAGTCTCTGGTTTGGACTGCTGAATCCTTTTTTCTCTTGTGAACCCCTCTAGTTTTCCTCTGAGTTTCCTTGATGCATCTGACCTGGTGAACACATAGTGGACTCAAGCACACAATTCACATGTTTCTGGATGCTTGCTTACAACTTGCAGCTTCATCATTTCATGTGGTACTGTGGAATGAGAAACAAGGACTAGAAGAGTCCTGTTTTTTTTCTCTGAACCATTCAGCAGTTTAGTCATGCAACTTAGCCTTAATGATTAATTAATACAGGGTGGAATTTTTCAAGTTTCAAAATAAAACTTCAATTTACCTCTACAATAACAGAGCTGAGCTGCTGAATGCTATTCATAGACCTTTCATGTCAATGTCATCAATGAATTTTAATTCCTGAATCTGGTACTCGTGAGCATTAAGTCTTCCACCGACTTGTGCTATGATTATGCTGTTTCATTAATGTTCATATTTGTTATTCTCCCTATGTACAATGCATAAAATACCTTTAGTGCTGCCAGAAATACAGTACATTGTTGTCTATTAGCTTGTTTTTGTTATATAGCTTAACCTGAGGTAGCAGTTATTGTTTATATTTTGCCCTGTGTGCACCAGAAAATATAACGTTCTGAGCTGCCTTTTTGTTAATAATTGCCCAGTAATGTAAATATAAATTGTCTAAACAACATTGATAAAGGCATGTTGAAGCTATAATAAATAATGCATTTAATACAAGTAATTTATCATCTTAAGTGAATGGTGTTGAAGAGGAAGTCAGTTACATTTCTGCAAAGTATATTTCTGCTATGAAACTTCTAGTGTAAAGCTTACTCAATATTAACAATCTAAGAGGTTCAGATTAATTTAATGAAGCCTTAAATATTGTGCCTGTAATTACTGCACTGTATGAGGATGCTTAGCTGAAATTTATAGAATATCTGACTTTGTGACAGATACCTCGGATTAATGTTTTGCCCAATATGAAGCTATTGAATCTTTCTTCCCAGATATGTTAATCAGCAATATCATCATCCTCATGTTAACCCTTGTTATTAACAGTTAATATGGCATATTCCCAGCAAAGATGTTACAAATGGCCAATGTCCCATAAATTAAATGTAACTGGGGCTTATATATGTGGTGAGCAGAAACAAAGCAAGTTAAGTCAGTTTCACGTTAGCATGAGGTTATGCCGTTTGATATTTCTTCACAGCATTCTGCTGTGCTTCATTAGCATTACGAGGCTGTGTACCAAAGCATTCAAAGAGTGAGACTGTCCATCTCCCTCTTGTCACTTTGCACACTTAGAGAGCAACAGATCGATCATGACAATTTTTAAAGCAGAAAAATAAGTTTTGTTTTCTCCAACGTTAGTTATCAAAGTAGCAGAAGTCTTAAGTGTGTTAATCTATGTCCTTCTTTTGAAAGCCATCAAAAATATTAGTGATAAGTCAGTATTTTACATTTTTATGTACTTCATATTCTTCAGAAGCATGCCTGCAGGGCAGTTAATGTCGAATGTTAAAGACCCAATACCAAAATCATGTGACTTTTTAAAGATACACTTGGCAAACCCTCTGTGTGGCTGTCAGGCATTGCTCTCCCATTAGCTCTTTTGCCAATAAAACTACCATTTGTATCAAAACAGAATCTTTCCAAGGCTTTATCAGCTTGCTCCTGTTCTTGATTTCTGAAATTTTATTTTTATGTTGGTGTTGTAGTGGTGATGTCGTAAGTACTAGAAAATTGCACTGCTGAAATAATTCAGGAGTAGACAAGTGAAGGAAATTTGGTGCAAGTAGTGCAGAGAAAAGTGAAATAAATGAAGTGAGTGAAATTAGAAGCTGATTTAAATGCTGAAGAGCTTTCACTTGTATTCACAATCTTTAAATTAAAATATGGGTCCAAAAGTTGTTGATACTTCTCAGATTTTTTACCAAGTCTACTCCAATCCAATTAATTCAGATAAATCTGTTTATTGAAAGGACCTGTCAGTACTTTTTTGTTTTTAAACAGAACTTCTACACACTATGCCTTGTTTTTCTTCTCAAGCACTTGGTAAATGAAAGTTGATACCAGTCAAATGAATCGTTAAATATGCAAATATCTTAGTAGCTGGAAAGCCTTGGAAGCTGATAAAGAAGTTGCAGCTAATGGATTTCACTGGTATGTGACAAAAGGCTGATTACAGTGGGGAGGGGAAGGGAGGGGGAACAGCACAGTGCATTAGCTATTAACAGATCTACTCATTCATGTGGAAGATTTAAAGTGCATCATTATTTCTACCTGGTTATTTACCTCACTGTTTCCTTTCTTCTTTAATCATTGGGAAAATAAAATTCTCTGATATGATCCAAACTCTTCACAATTAACTAGAACTTTTCAATGACTGCTGTAAAATAGTTACTTAATCATTTTATTGCTTTTTTTCACATGCACCTTTTATGGATTTGTTATT